AAAATAAGCCTGAGGATCAATGGAATAGATTAGAAAACCCAGAAATAAAACCATATACTGGTTATCTGAATTTGACAAGGGATCCAAAAATGTGTGGTGTGAAAAAGATGGCCTCTTCAATAAGTGATGTTGGGAAAACTGAACATGCATAGATACAAGACTAAAATTGGATCCCTGGTTGTAAACATGCACCAGTATCAGCACAAAGAGGATCAAAGACGTCAACATCAGACCTGAAACACTGAAACTGTTGCACATTAGAACTTATAGGCATAGGCAGAAACTTTCTGAAGAGTCCTGGGGTACATGAAATAGGAGAAAGACTCAACAAATGGGATTACACCAAAATAAAAAAAAGTTTCTGCACAGCAAAGGACTTAGTTACTAAATTAGAAAGACGGCCAATAGACTGGGAGAAGATCTTTACCAGCAATACCTCCGACAAAGGCCTAATGTCTAAAATATACAAGGAACACAAAAAACTAACCCCTTCCAAAACTAATGAACCAATCAACAAATGGTCAATATAGCTAAAAAGAGACTTCTCAGAAGATGAATTAAGAGTGGCAAAGAAAAACATGAGGAAATACTCAACATCCTTGGTCTTAAAGGAAATGCAAATCAAAATAACTCTGAGATTCTGTCTCACCCCTGTTAGATTGGCCAGCATCAAGAATTCAAACAACAAATGCTGGCAGGGATGTGGAAGAAAAGGAATTCTATTGCACCGTTGGTGGGAAGGTAAACTAGTGCATTCTGCAGGCTGTCTGGAGGTTCCTCAAGAAACACAGGACTTCTCTATGACCCAGCTGTACCACTGGTGGGCATCTACCCAGAATGGCACCAATCAGGATATGGTGAAGACATTTGCACATCCATGTACACTGCTGCACTATTCACAATAGCCCATTTATGGAAATGGCCCAGATGCCCTAGAGTAGACCAGTGGATCCAAAAAATGTGACACAAATACACAATGGAATTTTACTCACCCATTAGAAAGTATACAATTATGTTATTTGCAGGGAAATGGATAGACCTAGAACAAATCAGGTTAAGTGAGGTAAGCCAAGCTCAAAGATACGAAGGGCACATGTGTTTGCTCATGTGTGGAAGCTAGATCTAAAATATAACTGGATATGATGATTTAACCATGACTCAGGTGTTCATACACAGCCACACCAGTGGAGAATACCAGGAGAGGAGGAACTCAAAGCTGTAACTCTCCTGAACATGTGAAATACTATTTATTGAGATGAATCCCAGAAAATGGAAACATGGGTCAATTATGTTGCTTTTGATGTGTGTGTATGTGTGTGTGTGTTCAAATTTTTGATCATTTGGTTTTCCTCTCCCTTTGTCTGCTTCTTGGGGGCCATGGGGGGCAAAAATGGGTGCAGAAAGGGAGAGAGGAAGAGAGAACAAATACAATCATGGTATTTACTATACTCTATTTACTATACTCCGAATTATGCAATTTGTAGGCTAGGGCAAGAGGGGGAGACAGGGAAAAAGCAAAGGAAGGGAATGACATTGTTCAGATGAGAAACGTATGCATTATCTGAATTGTGAAATGGTTACCCCTCTGTAATAATAACAATACAATTATCTATATACATATATAGCAATTAAAAGAATATAATCTGAGCCAGGTCCTGTGACTCACGCCTGTATCCAAGCTATTCAGGAGGCTAAGATCAGATCCAGAGGAAAGCCGCCCAAGGCAGAAAAGCCTGAGACTCCATCTCCAAAACAAGCACCACAGAGCAGGGCTAGAGGTGTGGCTCAAGTGACAGAGTGCCACATGTGAGCAAGCCAGCCAAGGGAGCATGAGGCCATGAGCTCAAAGCCCAATACAGACCATAAACAAATAAATGCAAAGAAGGCAATCTGTAGGACTTTCCACTAACCCCATGACTTGAACTAAAATGGCCTCAACTCCATTTCTAGAATCCCTAGGCAGCATGTAGGATGTAGCTTGCAGAGAATGATGCTGAGGAGGAATTTTTGGAATTCTTCATATAAAAAGCATCCCGATTCCATCTCTAGGAAGGATGGAGACTGCTAATAGCATGTGTAACCACAGCAGGCTGCCAAGAGGGCCTCAGATACATTTATGGTTTCAGACAGGAAAACACAAACAGTGCTTCGGAGTCTTCATGAGTGCTACCATGGTTTGAGTACACTTGTACGAAGGTTAAAATGTCCTGTTGGGCTGGCGTGTCAGCAAGCATACCCTCAAAACACAGCTACACCAGGCCAGGCTGCGGTCGTTGGTGTCAATGAGCTATCTGTGTTCCTAAACCTCAAGCAGGAATTCTATGCCATGGAACGATGCTGAGTATTAGCATCTGAGTGAGACCTTGCACAAGCCTATGTGTGTATGAGTGTGTGTATGTGAACATTTGTATACATTGGAGGCACATACCCCAATCTGTGGACACCTCCCCGCCAAAGCTCAGTGGCTTTGGATATTGTGATGGAGTAGCCCCTTTCTCAAGGACTCCATGTCAGGCAGGTGGAATAGACATGCTTTGAAGCCTGAGCAGGCTCAAAAACAACCAGTCCATTCAGGTTGGACGCTGGTGGCTCACACCTGTAACCCTAGCTACTTAGGAGGCTGAGATCTGAAAATCAGGATTCAAAGCTAGCCAGGACAGAAAATTCCATGAGGCTCATCTCCAATTATCCAGCAAAAAGCCAGAAGTAGGGGTGTAGGTCAAGCAATAGAACAGAGCTCTAGCCTGGAGAGAAAAAGCCAGCAAGAGCACAAAACAATCTTAAGTTCAAGCCCCAGTTCTTACACACTGACACGGACACACACTCACACATACATATACCCCAACAACAACAAACAACAAGTTCAGCCTCTATAACTGGTACTCAAATACATAAGTTCCACGAGTACCTGTCATTTGTCCACATGCACTGTACTAGAAAATTAATATTGGCAACTCTTAAAAAAAAGTTACCAAGGCTCCCCTAGCTGCTTTCTTTGAATGGCATGGCGGACTACACTTACTCTAGACTGTTCTTAGCACATATGGTTAATCTAAGGCCATGAGAATTAGAGTTAGCTTATACTATTTGCTTAAGAAAATCCCTTACAGACTCATTGTCAATTTGCAAAGCCATTTCCAAAAGCCTTCTCTGCACCAATCCAATCATGATTTGGGGAAATTTCCTCTGCTCTTATTCCTCTATCTGCAATGAATGTTTGAGCTGTAGCTGTAGTTAGCTCTGAAGTTCCTCTGGTGAAAAGTGGTATACATTCAAATTATTTCACACCACGTAAAGACAGGGAGGTGTATCACCAGGGTGGCACACACAGCATGGGTTGTGTATTTTTGGAATCTTAGTCAATAAGGAAGATCAAGTGCTTCGCTTAGGCAGTTTCTTGAAATATGGATGTGGGGTTTATCTTGGGAACATGGTTGGCCACTTACATTTGCCTTCTTGAAGTAGTCTGTTAAGACTCAGTCTAATCAATCTGAAAGCCATATCAAAATTGCTTTTAAAATCTCTGAGCATTTAATATATCTACACTTGTTAAAATTAATTACATCATTTAACGTTTCTATGCACATTATAGTTTTAAATGTTTTACAGTTATTTTTATTAATTAATAAAGCTTTAATGGACAAAAATTGCACAGTAAGGTTATTATGCATATGCTGCATTTTCCACTTTATTATTATTATCTTTAAATATTTTCCCCAAGTGGAAAGTCACTAATTCATAAACCAATCTTTCTTAAAGAAAATGAGGCAGAAAAATAGGAAGTTTAAATAGATAAAAGGGAAAAGAAAACCATGAGGCTGGAGTGGGCAGTGCATGCCTGTAATCTAAGCTACTCAGGGGCTAAAATCAGGAGGGTTGAGTTCAAATCCAGCCTGGGAATTTATGTGAGACTCTCTTCTCAACCAATAGCTGTACAAGTGGGTACATCATGCCTCTCATCCTAACTGCACTGGAGGTTCAAAGTTCCAGGGCAAACTGGGCAGACTCTTCAAGACTGCATCTCAGTAGGAAGAAGCTAGATGTTTATCTGTCACTCCAGCTATAATGTGAAGCCTAAAATGGATTAACTTGAATCTACATACTCATCCAAGCAGGGAGTGAGACCCTGTTAAAAAACAGGCTGGAGACATGGCTCCGTGGTAGAGTGCTTGCTTAGCAAGCATGAGGCCCTGAGGTCAATAGCATCAAAACAAAACAGAAGATGATGCAGCTGCTCTTTTCCAAATTAGAATTCTCCCTCCCCTGACTTCTCAAGAAAAGGCAAAGGGTCTCAGGACAGCCCAGCATGGGAATCCTGTCAGGTTTCATAGATGGCAAGAACAGCAACGAGAACCAGCCAAGTGGTCCCAGAAGACAAAACTCAAAGCAGGGATTGCTCTTGCTGCTGGCTGGCGAAGCTTCCTCATTTAGAAAATGCCCAGCATTAGTGGCTTGCACCTGTGATCCTATTTACTCAGGAGGCAGCAAAGTCTGTGAGACTCATCTCCAATTAACCACCAAAAGGCTGGAAGCAGAGCTGTGGCTCAAGTAGGATAGATCCTAGGCCCTGAGTTCAAGGCCCAGAAGTGTGTGGGGGGGGGGGATGAGAAGAAAAAGAAAATTCAAGGTATTACTCAACACCACGTCTGTGAAAGCGATGTGTGAACAGTATTCGAGTGATTGAATAGTCAAAACTGCAGAAGTCTGGAGGGTCTCACACATGCAGGTGTTTGACGGCCAAAGAGCCAACACACCTGGGCTTGGCTGAGCCTTTCGCCTTTCCTTCTCACCCCAGGGGTGGGAGCAGGAGGTGGAACCACCGCAGTCTATTCCTGCCACTGTTAGGAGTCAGAATTGGAGGCTAGGCCTCTCACAGCCTGGGAGGAAACAGTGCCACCTGACATCAACACCGAGCCATGGGTTTCCACCTGGGAGGAGGAGGAGGCGAGATGGAAGCACCAGCGGGGCCCGGGGCCGGGCCCCTGCCGCAATCCACTCACCTGCCCTGCAGCTCCAGCCGGGAATGCGGATGGACAGCTGGCCGCCAGGCCCGCCGGCGTGCTCTCCTCTCCTCTTCTTGACGGCCAGCTGCGGAGTGCCCGCGTCGGCGAATCCCCCGGTGCCCAGGCACACCCGCTCCGGGCCCGGGCCCGGCTTCTCCTTTGGCCGGCCGTCGGGCGGCGGCGCGGGGCCCCAGGGCGGAAGCCAGGCTGGGCCGGGGAGGTGCAGGGGTGGCCGGCCGGGTCCCGGCTCCAGGCCTCCGCCCCTTGGCTCTCCGTTCGCCGTGCCGTCGACTCCATCTGCCGTCGGCGTGTGGGAACTGCAGTCGAGGCTGAGCGACAGCACCGACCGGTGCGTCCCGGCGCGGGGCCCCGGGGCCGGCTCCGCGGGCACCCACAGGGTCTTGTCCAGGTAGTAGATGGCCCGGGGACACGGCCGGGACACGCGCAGGTGGACACAGGAGCTGAACACCAGCGGGGCCTGGCCCGACGGGGAGCCGCCCCCCGGGTCCTCCCCGTGGGCGCCCG